AGAAAACTATGTATTATCTAAAAAATCTTAATTATTTTGAAGTCTAAGGTATAATAGTAATAGCAGCTTAAACAAAATCTTGATAGATCTATTCTATATTAGCTTTCTAACAGTAAACTAATTTTCCAAAAGTACCTTATATATTTATGAAATCTTCGAGATAAAATTTGTATGTAATTCTGTTTATAAACAGGGAAATGAAAGTTATATGACAAAGTCGTCCCAAACAACAAACATATCGTACATTTCCATTACCTATCTGTTGTTTAAGATAGGGATATTAAGCTTTTAACGACAAGCTATATGATATTCCTATGTTTTTTTGTGGAAAACCTAAGTATCTTATTGTAAAACTCCCTTGATGAGTAACCAAAACTAAAGGTTAAAGTAATAGACTCTACTATATTTTGCTAAAATCTCTACTATATTTCGCTACAATCTGTCTCGTTTTTGAGAGACACTAAAGTATGTGAGAATCAGCTGAATTCCCGGGCCGGTCGTCTGAGATATTTCATAACACAGTTAATCCGAGCAATTAACTTAATTCGTACGCCATCGGTCTTGTGTGCGGGGGAGAAAGTGACTGTGGGAGCAAGTGAGAGTAGAATCGGCAAAGACTGGGTGTTCATTTTGAAACGTTTCTCGGCCATCTCATCTCATCTCGGGGCGAACATGTGCCCATTCTGGACTATTTATAGCCGGGCACGAATGCACGCCAGCCGGATCAGCCAGGTTGGAATGCATGCGTGCCATACCGCTGAATGTGAGTTCGAAATCTCTCTGATTCTCAGAATCTCGGAACTTCTCTCGGCCACGACTCTCTCCGGCGGAATGAAAATGAACGCTCCACAAGTGGCCGTTGGAAGGCCGGCGACATGGCAATAAATAAATCCTCTCGGGAAGTGTCGCTCGCTATGGGTCTTTTTTTTTCTGCGCTTTTTTTTGTGGCCCCCAGTGGCGACGGTTTTCCGAAATGATTTTCCTACTAGGCTAGTAGCAAACGACGCGTCGGCCTCAACGGATTACCAATTCGACACAGAGAAATTCGAAAAAAGCACCACAACGAGTGGCAATATAATTATATATGTAGAGATATGTGCGCCATTCAAAACAAGAAAAATACATAGAAATTCTGAAAGCAATTTTGTGCGAAGAGTCAGCGACAATATCCGTTGTTGTTTTGGCTCAGTGCCGTAGTGCCGCAGTTTTTGGGGACTATTTTTGGCTCCCCAACGGAGGCGGAGACGGATACGGAGACACTCGGTGTTCAGTAAAGGCGGAACGCCATGTCCAACTCGTTTACAAGTTGGAAGCGCCTGTAGAGGAAAGATTACACAGAATTGTCCAACGTTATGCAAGCAGCTATTAAGCTGTAGAACTTTTCCCCTCATTAAATCTAAAAGTTAAGACCCGTGAGACAATGGACTGGTATCCGGAGGAGGATGAGGAGGACCTTATGTTCTCGCCGGCTCTCTTGGCCAGAAGAGCCAGTGAAAGCTGGATCGTTGAGCCGCCCGTGGAGGTGGAATATTTATAGTTTACCATCCATACATTCTGGAATACATCTCTGTCCCATTCTTACAGTCGGTGCCCATCAATGTGACCCTGCAGCGGAAGAAGTCCATGCCCGATTTCCAGGAGCTACCGCGGGCCACGGAGGCCATGAGCCGCGAGGAGGTGTCCGCCCTGGGTTCCGCCCGCCGGGAGGCAGTGCGTCGCCAAATCGAGGTCAACGAGCGCCTCAAGGCAAATCCCTTGCTGTATTTGGTCAGTCCACAGGTTAAGGTGAGTGATGGATCACTAATGGGGGTATACTATAAGCAGTTCGTTGGCCAAATGCCTCTTTTGATTTGTTTTCCCTGAAATGGTTTTACAATTGCTTCACTTACCTAAACCACCTTCTGTGTAAACATATAGTATTGCCCAATATTTTGATGCTAATGGCGCATTCATCTATAGTTTATGAGGCTTTTATTTAGCCCTAATTTATGGCGATTTTAATAATGCTAAATACAACTAATGATTCCGTTTATTGAATTATGTGAGTCATAAAACGTTTCATTCGAAATCCATCTACAATAATTAAATATGGGATTTTATTAAGTCTATAAAATAGAGTTTTGTAAGAAATTTTTTAGAACTACTTTGTTTTTTTTTAATAATTTAAGAAAATTGAAGAGTTTTCAATTACAAATTAGGTTGAACAATTAAAAACAATATAAAATGTTCATAAGATAAATAAACTTGTTATGAGCTTCCTCATCCGTATAAAACCGTTTAACTCTAAAAGGTTTCGGTTGTAAACAAATTCTTAAAAAGCTAATAGATGATTTAACACTGAATTGTGTTTATAACTGATTTTCGTAAACTTATTTTTGCTAATGAAAAAGTAAAATTTGCTTAAATAACGTAAAGTTAAATTGCTGAAATTTTAAAAAAAATTTAAACTTAATTTTTAACCATAAAAAGAAATCTTTTCTAAAAATAAATACATTTTTTTAAAGATTTTTGAACTCAAAGTTCCATTTTTATATAATGTAAGCAATATAAAATCGACACAAAGTATATAGAATCTGTGGGGAAGCCCCTATAACTCAATAATATATACAAGATCAAGCCCCTATAACTCAAAAATATATATAAGATTATACTGATCCTTTTTATTTCTTATCCAGGACTGGTTTGTGCGCCAGCAGCTGATGCTGCTCGTCCTGATTTTCAACGTCGCGCTGGCACTGCTCTTTGTCTACATGCTCACCTAGCGCCGGAGGATGCACAGGACGACGCGGGACGACGGGGGCGGACTTGGACTTGGGTTGGGCGACTCGGGGCAGTGGCAGGGACAGGGGCAGGGGCAGCGGATGGCTCTAAGCCACTGTGGTTTTGGCTGCCACCGATAGTCCGAGATTCGCTGAGTTTCGTGGACTGTGCGGGGCCCACAATGGCCCACAATTTGCGTTTGGGGGTGAGAGCTAATAGGTTTTTAGCATTTGCAGTAACCAGTTTATAAACCAACTTAAGTATCTAAAGTACCATAAATGTATATCATATGTATAACATGAGGAAACACGCTAAAGATGGGAAAAAGAAATCGAATTACAAGTCTAGACTGCAGCCAAATAATGGATAATTAAATTAACTCATAGCGCAAAACTGCAATGCACAAATCGTAGCAAACTAAATACATACTTAGACCGCGTGGCTGTGCAGCCAATCATTTAATTTGTCGAGCCAATTTAACTTTGTATTTGTGGCTAACCAGGAGCTGGAGAGAAGATCGAATAACTATATGCAAATCAATTTAACGAATTTTTCTACACATTTAATGTAAAGATAAAGGCAAAAAACAACAAAACAACAAACAACACTATAACCTAATCAATGTTTAATCATGATAAATAAACGCGTAATATATTTAAACTCTGGCTACTTAATATAATTCATAATACGAACGCAAACCTAGGCATATGCAAGGCAACCAAAATACCAAAAACCAAGAAACTTTTCCTATTTGCAATTAAAAATGCATTAGTCAGCAACTTAATCAAAACAAAAGGCAACCGAATAATACAAGTACTCATATTTATATATTAAAAGTGTAACGATGTGGCACCTATATTTGTATAATTAGCAAAATTTTGTGGGACCGAAAACAGCACCAACAAGAAAGGAGAAGCAGCTACACAAGATACGAGTATCAAGTATCTTGAGCTCTGTTTTTGGTTAACCAGATAAAACATTTTCGAAACCAAATTGAATTCGAGAAGGTCTGGGAAAGATTTACGGAATCTGAAAGTGAAAAAAAATTTATATACTTTAAAGCAACGGATCGCGGTTGTTAATGAATGAAGCTGTATATATACATTTTAAAATTTTATCGTATAACTATAATTATTTTCTTCTCGATAATTTACGTTTAAATTCATAGCTGGGACGACGTCATTATTTCAAAGTGTTGCAATTTATCGTTTTTAGTTTCACTTCATTTACGATGTACGAATATGTTCTAAATATTATTATTTAATTTTTTATTTGTTATTTTATATGCATACATTATTGAAAATAAATAAAACCGCACATTCGCATCTTTGCAAGTGTACTCTGCAATTTGTTCTTATTACTCCGTTTCTTAAATAAATACTATCAAGTGCAATTATAGTGAACTATTAAACTTGCTGCTTTCCTCGGCTATTTTGTGTGTACCGAAAAAGAGCTAAAAGAGTATTCTTTCTAGGCCGTTTCATTCAAAAGATGGAGAATATAAATCGAACAAGTGTAGAACCTTACGAAATGAAAGACTTAAACTGAAAATCGTTGGCTGGTGCATACAATTTGAGATGGTAAACAATTTGAAACAAAAACGATTTGCATTCGCCTGGATCAACGGCTATATGAGCGTTGTTTAAAAATATTCATAATGCATAAACATATATATTTGCATACGAAATTTAATAAATCTAATTTGTGTATATATCTGTGTTTATCAGATTGGCAGGCATAACCAAAGAAACAAGCTGGCAAAATCAAGCATAAGATAGAATCTTATTCAATGTTACCAACAACAAGAAAGTATATCAAAAATGAATGCATATGAATGAAACTTTTTAAATACGAATAATAAAATGCGTCAAAGCCTAAAAATGAAATTCTGTTTATTAATTGAGATGGTTTTAAAATCTTTCGATCGTTTAATAGGAAAGATGGAGTCAAGGGGGGAAAAAAGGTTTATCTATATTTTTATTCAAAATGTTTTTTAATTTCATTTATCAATTACTTAAATATTTATTATTTTAGAAAAGTCAAGTTTTGAAATTCATTTATTTTTAATTTTAGTATACGAAATCTTTGTAGAGTCCAAATCGTTTACCTTAAAATTTGGCTTTGAATCTTGAATAGCTTAGCCCAAAAGTCTGCAATGTTTTTCGACTTCTATAATAATAATTATAAATCCAAAATTTCCAGTAAAACTACATTTTTTTGTAAAAAGTTTAATCATTATTAAACATAGTTTAATCATTATCAACAGGAAGGGAAAAGAACATAAATAAATAAGAGGACACCTAGAAAACATTTCTAGCCTAGTGATACGCCTAAACCTAACAACAACGAATGGCACTCAGTAGTCCGCATAGCCCCTTCCCTGGTTGCCATATCCAAAGTCCTTCAGGTAGTTATCAATGGCCAGGTCGAAGGTGGAGGATGGCTTATCAGGACCCGATTCGGGCCCACCATATGGCTTGACCTCCGGCTGGGGTTCCGGCACGGGATAGGACTCCGTGCGGGGTTGGTAGGACTCGGTTTGGCTGGGATATGCCTCCGTGACGCTGGGATAGGATTCCTTGTGGCTGGGATAGGAATCCTTGTGGCTGGGATACGATTCCGTGGGACTCGAATAGATGGGGCTGTGGCTGGGATACGCTTCCGTCTGACTCTGCTCAACGGGATAGAGCTCTGTTTGGGGTGCTGAGTACTCCTTGGGTGCCTCAACAATGGGATAGGATGTGGTCCTGTCGTAAATTGGAGGCGGGGTGGCCACCACAATCTTCTCCTCGTAGGGCGTCTTTATCTTGGCCACCGAAACACCCGATGAAGAGGAAACGGCTGCGGCGGCATACTTAATGCCGGAGGAGATCTTGGGTGCGGGAGCCACTTTGCTGACGAGGGGAATGGGAGCCGCCTGCTGCTTCCTATAAACTGGAATGGGGGAGTAGTAAACAGAGGGTGCTGCTGCTACTGGAGCTGGTTGCAGCTGACGTGGCTGAGTGGGCTCACTGGCGGGATAGGCCTTCTTGGTGCCATAGGCGGTGCTCAGGAGTTGGGCCAACTCCTCCAGCGTGTAGTTGGGAGCAGGTAAGTTGGCCCCCGCGGGCGAGGAGGCAACCGCGGAGATGGAAGGCGGTGAGGCAGCCGAAGCTGCAGCCGCCTGTTCGTAGACCAAGGGATAGGGCTTATAGGCCTTGGGTCCGCCCACGGGTCCCGCCAATCCTCCATAGCCATCGCCTCCGTACTTGGGGAAGTACTTGCGCTGATGCACATGCGTGAACTCCACCTGGCCACCTGGAGCATACTCGCCGATGGAGGAGATCTGGGTGAGGGGCTGCTTGGGACCGGAGGAGACCACCTTGCGGCAGAACTCCTTGCAGCCCAGCTTGCACTCGCAGTAGCACTTCTTGTACGCCGATGGCGGGGTGGAATAGTCCGTTGGAGTGGGTGGTGCACTGGTCGTGGTGGTTGGATACACACGCTCCGTGGTGCTATAGACCGCGGTGGTGGGTGCACTTGTTGTGGATCCACCTGTTGTGGTTGTGGGTGATGCCGTTGTGGGCACTTCGCTGCACGGCACCTGTTCCCACACCTCCTGCTCACACTCAGCACAATATTCCGGGAAATGGGCTTGGGTCAATAGTGCCGAAGCCATCAGAATGGCCATAAATAATAAATTGCAGCGTTCGAACATCTGGAAAGGGAGGAAATGCATATATGGGTTAAAAATCGTTCCCAATCGATTGTCCCACTTTTTTTTCTTACCTTTCCACTGAATTTCTCCCCTACTCGCGATCACTTTCACTGTACTATTAGTGGAATTTCTGTCCCGAATCGCCGTTCAGATGACACTTGTTGGCTGTTCGTCGGTCGCGTGCGAAACTCTTTCATGCAAATTGCTGAATAGCTCTTAAATACGCTGCGCTGGCCGAGAGCTATTTCTTCTTCTTTCACCATAACACTTACAACGCCGAACAAATGGGTCGCGGAAGCGTTGACCGCATCACGTTCCAAATGGATCGGATAGGAACGGAGTGGGGAGGGGCGGGGGCATGTCGGTCCGGAATGGGCCCGGGGGCCCCACAATCGACAGATTCCGGCGCTTCCGTAATACACATTCAAGCATTTCTACCCGCACTCGTCGATAGCATCAAGTGCTCGACAACAGTCATCCAATCCAAACATGAACATACATATGCTAACAAACATATCTTTTTTTTACCTCTGGTTCATGGCTTTATGGGTTTAACCTTTAAGACTAGATTGAAAGATCCCATGATCCAATGAAAATTCGGGACAAATGGTAGAAATATATAATAATATTTTAAATTTAAGTAGGACATTTCTAAAACTTCTCCTTCTGCACGGATTTCATGTGTTGTAGAATCTCCCAATTTTATTTAGTTTTATTCTAGATTCTGCTATTTTTATTAAGTAATTCCTAGCTGTGCCCATTCCGCACTCGACGACCTTTTTTTCGGTTCTGCACCATATTTGCCAGCAGTTTGGGGATTTATAATTTCTGTGTCTTGGCCCAGATCTGATAATATTGTCTGAGGTCGATTAACTTATCAATTTTTGGTTGTAATTTCGTGATCCTCACGTACACAACGGATAATCACATTTTTGTAAGCGATATTGTATGTATAATGTGTTTATCTTTACTGATTTTAACGGATTAAAAAATGCACTTACATACTAAAACACAAATCATTGGGTGCATATTGAAATGAATTTTATTAACTAGTACCTATTAACATGCTGAGAATCGCACCAAACAATTTATTACTAAATAGATATTAAAGTTATGAATAACTGAGTTAATAAGGTAAAAGCCCTTGCATGTTGGGTAGTACCCCACCCATCCACTAGGTGGCGCCGATCACTAGGTGCCGCACCAACATAAATTCACCAGAGTAATATTTTGATTGTAGTTACCAGACTAAGCACTGTTTCTTGTTTTAAAATTGGTAGTTGAGTATAGCGTTGTGTCTTCATTTATTTTTTTTTTATGGAGATCAAAAAAACATTCAGTTTTACAGAAACATATGTGCACACTTCGGGACACTTGAAACACCTTAGTTAAGGACATATTTGAGGGGAACACTTTCTGGACATGCACTCATGCTAATTAAACCCAAAAAAGGAAAACAAATGAACTGATAACAAACGCTTGCTATTTATTCATAGAATGGTGACTAAAATTTAATTTTAAACCGAAATTATGAATAAATGTTAGGATAAGCAAAGCAAAGTTTGGATATCGTGCCCTAGTCTGTGGTTAATTTAGATTGGCCACACGACTTTGGAACGGTTGGGCTCCGGAGTAAACCTTAATATCCGGAATAAAACTTCGCTCGTCATTTGCATCCTGCTCCACGGTTTCCATCCTTTGGATGGAGCTGCGCTTCTTAATTTTATCCCAGCGCTTTGGTTCGATTTGTGATTTTGGTTGGGCTGCTTCTTGGATTTCAGAAGATTTTTGGTTTGAACTCTGATCAGGAACCACTCGAACGGTTTCCCTTCGACTTGCCATTTCCACATCGATCGTATCAGTTCCACTTTGAGCACTTGTCAGTCGCTTCAGCATCTCCTGGTAATGCGGTTGATCCGCAGTAATATACTCCGGTTCGTCTTCGGGATTAAGGATCCGGTAATTGGGGGTACCGAGCTCGAAGGTGGTAAATTCTCCGTGCTCCACCTTGTTCTTCAGATGTTTGGCCGTGTATCCATACTGTTTAAGCGGAGCCATCCACTTGGCATCCGCATCCGCATCCTTTGAACCTCCCAGGCAAAAGCCAAGGGCCATCAGCAATAAGACCAGTAGTCGCTGTGTCTCCAGCCAGCCAACCATTTTCGCACTGATGCTCCATTGATCTTTGGCCAGAAGCGTTAGCCAAACCCAATAGAATCGCCATCGGCGACGCCGACTGCGCCGGTAATTGGATACCCCCAAGTGGCAGCAGGTACGTGAGATTAGAGTCATCTATGGGACCATGTCGCGTCTGGCCGAGATAGCATTAGTTTGTGCTTATCAAAAATTCGAAGCCACCTGGGGCATGACACATCTTTTTGTGAGACAAGATTAATCATACTTAGACACACACATTCGAGTCGAACTAAGTTAAGCATTTCCCATTCAAGTTTTATTCAGAATTTTTTTTTCATTTTAAATCATTACCGCTTTTTATACCCGTTACTCGTAAAGTGAAAGGGTATGTTAGATTAGTTGAAAAGTATGTAACAGGTAGAAGGAAGCGTTTCCGACCCTATAAAGTGAATATATTCTTGACCAGGATCACTTTCACTAGCCTGTATGAACGTGTGAACACTGTGATCTCGGAAACTACAAAGGTAGAAAGTTAAGATTTGATATGTAGATCATGCAGATTCTAGAGATTCCTGCGCAACGTATTTTGTTTCAGCAGGCTGCCAGCGCCCACAAACGTCCATAACGCTAAAATACATCTAGTACCCACTTTCTTTATATATTTGAAAAATTTAAATAATATTTTGTTTTGATTAGCAATGTCCATCTACATACCCAAAAAATGTTCAATTCGTTAAAAACCTATAGTGTGCCATCTTGGGAACAGACGCTTTGCTCGCACTCCCCTTGGCCGAGTAATGGGTATCTGATAGTCGATGGCATCGACTATAGCGTCCTCTCTTAACTGTGAAGTTTTAGTGAGTTTCCTTACTGCGATTAATCTGTACTCAGTGATTTTGATAATCATAAATTTGGTTTTTCCACATTTCGAAAAGAATTCCTAACACTTCCCAGTTTAAAACTCTATGATTTTTGTGTTCCTCTGCGAACAGTTTGAATGTGATGCATCTTTATAGTTAGGTAAAATGTATGCTGTCTGTATGTACAATTAATGTGCTAATCGAAATTAAATTATGATGGTTGTATGGCAGTGAAGCTTTCCCGGGTCGAGACGGGTATCCTAATGGGCTTGTGATGCTGAAGTCAGTGGCTAGATCCCTTTCAGTACTTGTACTGAGCTGTGGGTCCGGAAACAGAGACGTAGTTACCGGAGGACAGCTCCTGCTTGATGATAGCCTTGGGGGCAGCGTAGTGAACAAGTGGAGCCACTGGGAGCACAGGAGTCAGGAGTTTTGCGGCCAGGAGCTTCTTGGGCGGCTCAGGCAGCGGAATCTTGATGTCCGTGGGCTCCCGCTGGACAATCGCCTCGAAACCGTTGTGATCGTCCGCCTTGTACTGGACAATGCGACGATAGCCATCGGAGTCGATCAGCTCGTAGACGCCCTCGACCTTGTCATCCTTGCGCGTCTCCTTCTGGCTCTTGATGTCGCCGGTGTGGGGATCGTTCACCGACCACTGGAACTCGTAGGCCACTGGTCCGTAGTCCGGCTCCGGCTGCAATTCAAGGGCCCACACGGCGCTGGCCAGGCACAGGCACAACAGATAGGTAGCCTAGAGAGGATATTATATTTAAGACCCAGGAAACGCACTCCTTTAAGCCACTCACTTTTCCAATCATTTTGGTTTTTTTGGGGGGTTCTCAGAACTCTTTGGGGTATTGAAATGCACTCGGCAAAGATCGGAATCGAAGTAATTAATCTGGGTAGTCCTAGGCTGCTTATATACGAGCACTCCACTCTTAGATCCGACTCAGATGTGGCAATCCACCCAAGGTGTCGTGTCGCTTTTCGGCACGCGCCTCCCAAACAAGATCGCTGGCACAAGTGGAGCGCGCTCATTAAGTGAGCCCCGAAAAAATTATAATTAAGCAAGAAATATGCAGAGTCTGGTTCGCACAAGTCTGAGGAAAATGCACAGCACAAAATATCAACCAAATAAGTCCTAAATTCTGTACAGAAACACTGTTTTAAGTCGAGGGAAATAGATTAGGATATCTTTGGATATCTTTGGATTAGCTGGAAAAGATGGATTTGAGATTGTTGTTTAAAAACCGTAAAGCTGTGATATTCAAATTTTTTTAACATTGATTTAAGGATAATAATATAAATTAACAAGTATTGATAAATTAAGTTAACCTACTAAAAATAAGTAAACGAAGGCCCTGCAGCTAGTACTACTCCCAACTGTTAGTCTTAGTTTTGTAAATAAATAAAGAAAATACAAATTATTTAAATTGTAAAATTACAAACGATTTCAAGAGCTCTTAAAAAAGGTTTGATTTTCAGCAAATTGCTGATCCTACCAGATAAAATGGTTTATAAAATAAAAAAAATGAAGAAATAATTTTGTATCCAAAGATTTATCGAAAATACTTTATTAATTCCTAAAGTTTAATAATACAAACTATTGTTAAATTTAATTTTTTCAACTGCACCCCATTCGCATTGCATTAAACAGCCAAACGAATATGCCGCAAGTGGGAGAGCTTAGTGATCTTAGAGGTGTCGCGCTAGTTTGTCTGGTCTGACCAACAAATGTGCAGATTAATTTACTTTGTCAATAATTTGCAACATTAGGCATTGGGCAACAAGGCCTCCGACTGCATTAAGTCATAAAAATAATTGTCATGTTTTAATGGATGGCGCGCCAAAAACAGATTGCAGATGGGATTGGGGCAGGTGTTGGGGGTTGGAACCTTCATGGCATGGCTCAGAGGCCAGATCCTTTGGCCAGTGATCTGGCCACAACCCGTTCGATGGCATTAACAAATATTTTAATTAATCGCCATTAGACGAGTTTCCTTCGCGCCCGAAAAACCAGGTTACTCTATCTGAAAAGTTTTGATTTAACGCAGCCGCAAAGCGTGTTTGTCGAACCTTAAAAGCAATCTCTGGTATGTGCACTTGTTAGGCGTAGTTGGCTCTGAATCTGGGCTAACTAGTCAACTAGGTTTTCGGTAAAGCAGCTCTATGCGTAAGTTTAGTGGTCAGTTTCATCAGCTTTAGTTCTGCTTACAATCTATTGTTTACTATTAGTTTATGCATTGGGATTTGGGCTTAACCGCTTTTTTTAGTCAGCATCCTCACTTTCCTTTTCCAACTTGGCACGTATTGTTCTTTGGCAACGGGACCTCAGCAGTTCTCGTCGAAGAGCATTGCTCTCCGATTCAACAGTTTGAATAAGCTAAAAATTGGTAATACATATTATTGTTATATTATCTTACTAAGGTATTTTATAGCATACGCTATGGGTTAGAGCAGCTCTTTCCATAGTTTCAGCATCGGCATCGTCATCCTTGGGTCCAGACTCACTGCTTGAAGAGCAACGACGAGCTTTGTAATGAGCCCCAGGATAGTCCTCTTCATATTTTGGAGGAGGATCATCATCGTTGGGTGCTGAAGTTGCCACACTGATCGCTCCTGCTTCGGAGTTCAACTTTAGAGCAGCCAATTCATCTCGTAGACTTTGATTTTGCATTTCTAGTAAATCCACCTTTAAAGAGGGTACTATAAATTAAACTCTTTGATACTTTATGATCTCCTCTTACGCTTTCCAGTTCAAAATCCATTTCATCAATAATGTCGTATGACTCATCCAGGGCTCTTTGGAGCTTCTCCACTTTGGCCTTCAGCTCTTGCAGTTCATTGAGATCGCTTTGGGTCGATTGCCGCTTCTCTTTCATTATTTGTTGCTCTAGAGAGAAAGAAGAATATGAAGTACCCCTATTGGGGAAACTTGCGTATAAACCCACCTGCATTTCTTTGATCTAGAGAGGATTTCATTACCAAGCCTGTAAGTGTCTTCTGCCTCTTAAACATCTCCTCCAGGGCACGACATCGTTTTACCTTCTCCAAATAGGCGTCATGGAGCTTGTTGTACTTCTTCTTGTGCTGCTGCACTGTCTCCACCAAACGATCCCGCTCCTCCTCCAATTGAAAGGCCATGATCTTGGCCTCGACATTTATGGCCGCATTTGTGCTGTGGTTGGTAGAGGCGCGATTTAGTCGATGGCGCAGCAAAATGTTCTCCTCTTCCAGCTGGGCATTTCGAGATTTAGCTATAAAGGAGTTTCACTACATTAAGTATACGCAGCGGCATTGCTTATACGCACCGGCTGCCAGTTCCGCATAGAGCACCTGCATCGTAGATGTGGAACGCTTCTCCATTAGTACGATTTTTTCCTATTTAATAGTTTTGTAAGTGAAACAATTACTCAGCGACTGAAGAACCTTTTGTTGCTGAAAACACTAAAGATAAGCTATCAGCGCGTTGGATTGAATGGTTATCGCTGCCAGAGTTACTTTGCTAAATTATTCGATTACTTAGGAATATAAAAACTAGATTGAACAAATTTGTTGCATTAAACCATAATATAACTACAGTCAAGCTTCCGTAACATGTAACAACCCCGCAGTAAAACAAAAAGTAGTGGCATTCAATGACTTAATTTTATAAATGTTTCACCTATAAATAAATAAATCGTTAAAAATTATTTGGCTCCAATTTTTTTGATTTACTAATTTTTAAATATTTTCTAATTTAAGAAAATTGAAAGTCAAGTCATAATAAATAAAAATTTTTTTATAGTCTGGTAGGTACGAAAATTTCAGTATTTTCAACGCTTTAGATAATTTTTTTTAAACTAATATATATATTTTATTATTATATTTTAACATTGTATTTTAAATGAACATTATATAGATAATTATTATAATTAAATTGTTTATCTACACACGTAGACGTAAAGTACGTTGGGTTCGAGTCTTGGCTATAAGAAATTCTCATGGTCACACCTTTTTTATAGATTCAGAATCGAGAACCGATTTGTTTTGGCGCTACGGAGCCAACATTTCAAACCTTTTAGAAAATCAGTTTTCCACAACATGTTTTGTAAGTACAAACAAATATTCTTTTGTCTATTACAATATGGTTTTATTTTCTTTTTGTTTTCAGGAGTCTCATTGTTTTCATTTCATACATGTTCTTATGTAGTTTATTTGCAATATTTTCTCTAAGTAAAAATATGTATTCCTTAACATACTTTTCGCATATACATATTTATAGATATATATTGGTTTTTTGCACCTAAGTACCACAATTTTTGTTTGTGGTCTTTATTAAAATCGCTCTTCAATAATGTATAAGTTATGTTGTACAAACACATCCCGATACGAATTCTTAGCTACGCATAGGTACTTATTAACGTACAATTGTATACATATATTTATTAATATGGATGTATCTATTTAGTGCTCGGGGAGCTCCTCTCTGCCTCCTTTCCTACTGTATGTGGCTGGCTGGTGTAAACATAGAATTAGTTGGTACTAATTAACCTAGATTGCATCACTTAGGACTACTGGGGTCTTGCACTCGGGCAGTGCGTAGGAAAACAACCGGATGAAGCGGTTGGATTCCCATTTCAGTTGGGTTACTGATTTAATCCGCGTGTATATTTAATTGATATTTTTTAAGGCATTATCGCATTTAAAGTACATCATTCGGTTTTAAAATCTAGGCTAGACGTGCTCTTCTCGCTACGCTTAAAACAGGGAATTTAGTATTTTCAGTAAAACTAGTCCAGACCTATTCATCATTCGAACCCTTCTATTGGATGCACAATGTGTTGCCGCTTGTCCACAAAGATTCTCTAAATAATGTATTGCATAAGAATTACATTCAGCGTACTTCCTTTCTATCCGACGTTTTCGTTAATTTTTGTTTTCTATACTCACACATTGTTTCACAGCACAATTTCCATTGACAATTGTTTACATGTTCGAATTATTAAAACATTGTAATTTGCTATTCGTTTCTCTTCCCTTCCGCCAACTGGTTCTCAGTCAATCGTCTCACTACGAAACCGAGATTGCCCAAAGTCGAGCTAAAGCGAAACATTTCGAGCAGTTCGAACGCTTAATCGACTTATCGCGGGTCTGCATTCCACTAAAAATACAATACAAAATATTCCTATCACAACGATCTACTCCTACCCTAAAGTATGCTAGTTGCTTACTAGGATTCCTATTCTACCGCCTGGTTACATAAATATTATCTGCAAGTATTCGTAATCGTATCGCATTCGGATTCGGATTCGAATTCTGTTTGAATGTTGCATATATCAAAAGATTTCTATTTTCAGATGCCTTCTACTAGGAAAGTAGATTTGAACACTCGGTTGTAAGTACAATGAGCAGCTGAGAGTTGAGTCACTTCGTCGGGAAACGGGCGATGACCACACACACTCAAAACACGAGATGCGATTGCCGCCAGGAATGGAGCCGTTGCGGTTACTGCTTCCGAAAAACCAATAATCCTAGCTTAAAGCTACTTGACATAAAACTAAGCACAATTGGAGCGCTCTTCCTCTTCGTCGTCATTGTCGTTGATGAGCTCGTTCCGATCGTCATCGATCTGTATCTTGTGGTGCGACGTGTTCCGTGTGTGCTGTGGATGCGGGTGACCGGCCAAGGAACTGGAGGCTGCAGCCTCCGGCAGCACTTGATAGTTAAGATCCTTGGAATTGGTACGCCGATGCCGCAGCACACTTAGACCTGTGGTGCTGGTATCCGATGCCACCTGTCCAGAGGCGTTGTTCACGGGAGTTCCACTGGAAATTTTGGTGTTCAAATCCTTCGAGTTGTTGCGGGAATGACCACGAGACCCAGCTGCACCGGCTTCCATTTCGTTTGAGTTCTTTAGTTTGCCAACATCCGTAACCACGTTCTTCAGTACATTCACATTCTTCTTGGGATTGTGGTGCGGATGGGGATGCCGAAGGAAGTCCGCATCGAAGCGTATGTTGTTGGGCATGTAGATTTGGTCGTAGCTGTGGTTTCTCGAGTGCTTCTTGACAAAGTGCCCACAGCCGGTGGTCAGCTCGTCGTCATCATCCTCTTCGGCACAGTCCTGCGGGCGAAGCTGGTTCTGAATATATCGAATGGGTTGGCTGGGGTTGTTCAGATCTGTCGAAAGATTGCGAGTGTGCGCCTGGAACTTCTTGAGATTCTTGTATTTGCTGCTCGCACCACCACTCGCATCCTGACCAGCTGCGTCCGCCGGCCCGCTGGAAGAGTTGTGATCCCGAGCAAAGCTTTTGATCATCTTCACGTCACACGAGGCGCTTCGGAAGTGTTTCTTAGACTTTGTCTGCGGCTGGTTGCAGGTGTTTGCAGGAGTCACCACATGACCGCACTTGTCGTAACTGCAGAAGATTCATTTTGGTTAGGCAACAATCTTGGATTTGAAATGGCAGATAGACTCACCAGTAATCCATCTGCATGGTTCGTGAATCGTTTCGAGAATGGCGAAGTATCTCTGTGGGTATGATCAGCTCTCCGCCACCTCCAACAAATGCAGTGGACGGCTCAGCGCCGGATAGTTTTTCCTCAAATACTGCAATAAAGAGAAACCAGAGTTTATGGTGATTAATTAAATATAATTTTGTGTCACACCAAACTTACATTTGTCCAGGCTAATGATGGAACCGATGATTGGATCGCTTGCGTTTAGGGGCTTCATTTTCTCAAGCTGCTTGCGCCTACGCACCAACCACCAATCCACCATAAAGATAAACAAGGCCACCAGCTTCACAGACGCACAGAGACCAACATATCTAAGATATAATGATATCGGATTAAAAAAAAGATTCTATATAGAGTAGTTGTAATATTCATACTTGTATCGGAACTTTTCGATATCGTAGATGAGACAGCGACCACCCTTCTCGCCGCAGGACGACTTCCAGAGCAGGCAAGTGGAATCGATGAGGTTTCCAAAGAGGATGGGAGCCGGTATGTAACCAAAGAGTCTAAAGATCACAAACTGCATGCCCAGCGCAAAGGAGCGCTCCTCCTCGGACACCGATCGCAGTACGATCATGAGCAGCGGCATCTGTGTGGAGGCCACCACGAAGGTCATGAAGAACAGCAGTATCAGGAACGGAAAGATGGTGCGGCAAGGTGTGGCACATGGACCAGCGGTGGCCACCGGCACCACCGTCACCTCGGCGAAGTTCTCGTTGGCACTGAGCGCCTGAGCCTGGCTTCCTCCAGCGCCACGATAAATGCTGCTCGAGATGTTGGCGTGAACACCTAAAAATATAAATTATTACAAAATTAATTGTAATAAAAATCCAGATTTTAGAATGGTAACTTACATGCACAGTTAGTATAGTTGGTGCTGGATGTGGATGAGAAGGCCGTGCAGCCGGCGTGGCAGGGACTGAAGTAGGTGAGTCCATTGTTGCCACACACCGGTTCCACCTCGCTAGTCAGGCACTCGCAGCCAAAGTTGCACGCGGCCGTGAGATTCACCTGGAAGGGCTGCTCCAAGGTGGATCCATGCTTGTTACTCGTGTAATACGGAATTGTGGTGCCAGCCATCTTTAGGTTGTCGCAACCGAGGAAGAATAGCATCGCATAGCAGGCCAGGCAGATGACGTTGGTGATCAAGACGAATTGGACGGCGCCCTTGGGCTTCAGTTGGAACCGTTTTAGGATGCAGCCGCCGAGGAAGATGCCAATGCAGGCCCCAGGCACGGCAATCGAGCCGGTGAAGATGTTGGCCTGACTCTTGCCCAAGCTGAACTGCGTCTCCAGGTACTTGGGCAGGAAGACCACGAAGCCGGAGACGATCATCAGCTCCATGCAGGCTCCCAGGCAGGTCACGATGTAAACGGGATTCTTCACCAGGCGCAGCATTGACTGCGGAATATCCTTGATGTCCTTTCCGTACCCGGTGTCCACCTTGGGCGGCGGCTGGTCCTCCTTGCTGGTCACGGCCACAATTTCCAGTTTCTTCACCTTGCCCATTTCATCCGTGGTGGCAGTGGCCCCGGAATTGTTCGGCAGAACTGGCTGCACCACGCTGCTCTTCCGGATTTTCTTCTTTTCGCGGGCAAGAACCTTGGGGAAGGAAAAGAAGGGCACGGCCACCACCAGCAGGATGACTCCGCACAGCAGGAAACCGCCCCACCACATTCCCACCCAACGTCTGTCGCCGGGAGCTGCAAGAAATCAATATGTTAAATAAGGTTTGGCTTTCATTAAAAATTGCTATGAAATTTTAAAACAATTAAAGCTTTAAGAACTCTTTAAAAATCTCAAATTTTTGTTCTTGAAAAACTTTTCAGAATGGAACTTTTCCATTTACATTTCTATTGAAGTTTTTCTGATTGGACGAAAACTAATATATTTTGGAATTGATTTGGTGTTACTTTAATTTATTGTACAATACTTCTTTACTGTTTTCCTTAATAAAGGAGGTCTTTGGAAATAGAAACTATTATTTCATATTACTAAGAAC